TATAGTGACATAATAGATGACAGCCTAGGAAACCCTGTGGGGCAGTTCTCCTCCATTACACCAGGGGGCGCTGTGAGTGGATGATCTATAAGAGTATATATGAGTATATAGTGACACAATAGATGACAGCCTAGGAAACCCTTGGGGCAGTTCTACTGTATTACACCAGGGGGCGCTGTGAGTGGAAGTCCACGTGATATCACCCAACAACAATAAAATCCTGAAGTGAGGGAGAAGGAAAGATATTTATTCACACATATTTTTTGTTCTTAATATCACTTTTTAGGAAAACGTCTATCTTGAGAAAATTCAATGCAGGAAAACTCAGAGCTATAAAACGGTTAAGTAACACTTTACAGCTGGAACCAGGGAAGGGCTCAGAAGTCTAATGTGCTGTACGAATCTTATTATTGTAGAGTAAAACCTACCAAAACCAACCTTGTATAAGGCACATGACTATCAGAGAAAGAAAACTCAAGGTTGTTTAACACAGAAAAATGATAGACTGCAGCCTGTGAAAGCTGGAAAACTTGAGCAACCCAGGTAAACAAGGCGGGCAGTCGAGTTCCGGCTCCCCCAGGTCTCAGTGTGTAACTCATTGGCTAGAGCAGTGGACTTCCCCATTGCTGGGACTCTGATGACATTCACTTACTCCCCTTGGATCCTTATCCAGGCGACATGGGAAATTCTGCAAGAGAAGTGAAAACTGGTGGATGTATTGCCACTCCTCATTTATCAACATGGTTACCATCCAAAGGCCAGGTTGCTATGCGAAAATCAGCTACACAAGAAAGTGGAGGGTGACCACATCATTCATGGCAGAACTATCAAATCACAGGACGACACAACCGCCAAACCACTGAGAATCAGGGCCCAGCCCGGGGGACACACGCCTTAGCCAGCATTAGCTCATCTTGCACCTCAGCCCTGTTTCTGCCAGACATACGCCCTGAATGCGCTAAACAATGAGGAGACTGTTTTACTTTTGTAGGCGAATGAGGCAGTTGATAAGTAAGGAGTAGGTAAAACTGAGTAGTAGCAACAGATTTCCCTTTTTCTAATGAAGTTTATCATTCAGATCATTTGAATAAATCCCTAGAGGAGGAATTGCTTGTTCCATGACTAACTCCCTTTCTAGAATTAACTTCTATTCCTCATTCATAGAGCTTGAACGTGTTAGCTTTTAATTTAAGAATCTAGCTTTAATGGTTGGTATTCAATATATAAACAAAGATCCCTGGTAGTGCAACAGTTAAGTGCTCGGTTGCTAACCAAAAGGTTGGCAGTTCAAACCCACCAGTGGCTCCACAGGAGAAAAAACTTGGTGATCTGCCCCCTGGAAGATTAAAGCTAAGGAAACCCTAAGGTACAGTTCCACTCTGTAACACTGGGGGGCACCAAGAGTCGGAATCTCCAGTTGACGACAAAGGGTTGTGGGTAGTGTTTGGTGTAAATGTAAACTCTCAGTTGCTAACTGAAGTTCAAGTCCACCCAGCGGTCCCTCGTAAGAAAGGCTTGACGAGTTACCTCACAGAAAATCAGTATTGAAAACTCCATAGAGCACAGTTCTACTGTGGCACACATGAAGTTACCATGTCCTGGAAACTCCATAGAGCACAGTTCTATGGCAGCACACATGAAGTTACCATGACCTGGAAACTCCATAGAGCACAGTTCTACCGTGGTACACATGACGTCACTATGACCTGGAAACTCCATTGAGCACAGTTCTACGGCAGCACACATGACATCACCATCTAGTTGGAATCAACTAGATGGCACCTAACAATAACAATATACATATAAATAATTCAAATTTCCCCTCAACATAATAAAATGACATTATGACAGGCCCACATTAAAAACTAAACTTAAAAAAAAAAAAAAAAAACTAAACTAAACTTCAAGATTGTGTGCTAAGCATTATCAATTTAAACAAACAAACAAAAATGATGGTGAATCTCTGAATGACCTACAAAATCAAACTATTCATATGATCAGTGTTTTTGTATTCTGCTTACCCTCTCAGTCTGTCAAACCTTTCAAAGAAAGTCCACAAAGACACTGAAAAGGAATGTTTCCTTTAGGTTCATTGGGCCAGCTCACATTAAAATGTCCACTCATTCAAGTCCACTAACATCCAGTCCAAAGCTAAAGAAATCGCCTTTCATTTCCATTCTGAAATGATGTTTGAAATGAGAAGTACAACATTCTGGAAACATGCTCTCAAAGCCATTCAGATAGAGGGACATTCATTCCTTAGATATGTCCTTAAAAATCAATGGAAGAACCCAGCTGGGCTCTAGTCACCTGGAACCACACAGGATGAAGGAGAGTCCGAAACAGGAGGAAGATATGGAATATGTGGTTAACTGCCTCCTTTGCCGGCCTGAGAATGAGCATTTCAAAGCCCCCCGGTTCATGGTTGCTGGTCTCTGGGTCAAGCTTGGCAGCTCAGTTTACAGAGCACAGAGGAAGCCCTAAACCACAGTGGTTCTATTATTTAGAGTAAGAACAGCTAAGGAGCTCTGGTAGTGTAGTGGTTATGAATCGGGCTGCGAACCACAAGGTCAGCAGTTCAAATCTACCAGCCGTTCAGCGGGAGAAAGATGAGGCTTTCTGCTCCCATAAAGATTTACAGCCTTGGAAACCCTGTACAGGGTCGCTATGAGTCAGAACCAACTTCACAGCACATAACAACAACAACCTCCTTTGCCATGGGAACAGACAGAATTAGATGGTGCCCAACTACCATGGCGGTTTTGACAAGATTCCGTAGAAGACTCCTGATAAAAAGGGGGAAATGTAGAACAGAATTCCAATTTTTCATGAACTCCAGACTTCCTGGAACTATTTAGGCTGGATAAACATTAAACCAAAAATATTACAGAAATCATCTTAAAACCAACAACAGTTTAGCTTAACTAGTGAAGAATGTCTGTCTTGAGTATTAGCTTCATTTTAGAACTCTGTTTTGGATCGAATTGACAACCACAATTTGAAAGGTCAACAGGAAAGTTAGGGGGCAGAGTGCTGGTTTAATGAGGAGGAAGCACTCAGAAGTGGAAGGTAAGCAGGTTGCAGAACTTGAGAAATGTAATCTATGTCACTGATGTGTACAAACTGTTGAATTTTGGGGTAATTTACATCAATCTCACACTGAACATCACTGAGAAGACATAAAACATGAGAATATTATTCAAGTCAAATAAACGGATTCCAATATTTCTCTCCTCTCCCACTCGGTCATCTACAAGGCTGGCAGGACAACAGGACCGCAAGACACACCTGAAGACCGGGGACTGAGGAACGAGTTCTTAATTCTCATGGCATCCAGATCCCAAGGAGACTGAAATGACCCAAACTATCATCCCGAGATAATCTCTCGATTTAAGCACTGAGAAAACTGGCTTGGAAAGCCATCTTTCAGTCAAATAATCATCTAACATAATTAGTAAAGACACTTTATTTTGGGCATTGTTGTCTTTTAAAGAAAAAATCATGTGCCGTTTCACAGCAGACACTACAAAGGCCAGACTTGGTGGGTTTGGGTTATGTGCCGTGGAGTCAGTTCTGACCCATAGTGACCCTGTACAGGGTTTCTGAGGCTGTAAATCTTCACAGGAATGGAAAGCCTCATCTTTCTCCCATGGAACAGCTGGGAGTTTTGAACTGCTGACCTTGAGGTTCGCAGCCCGACACGTAACCACTACGCTACCGGAGAAGACTAGAAGCTATTTGAGTTGGATCAATCATCATGTGACTTGTTCTTCAAGAAAACGTGTCCATGAGTTACTGTGCAAATGCTGTTTCCATGGTAACATAGCGTTAGCGCAAAAGGCCAGGGTATAAGAATGTGTCTTCCCAAGACTTGTCTCACAATGACTCAGTACCGACTCGCTGGCACACCACCACTGCCACGTGGAAATGTTAGACTCGGTTTACAAACCGTGTATTAAATAAACACCAATCAATTTCTGTTATCGGTTGAATACTATCTCTGTGTTAACAGAGCTGAAACACACCATTAGATAAACAATGACAGGAAGAGTAGCAATTCCCAACTAATGGCCTGGTCTTCAGAGACACACATTCCCACTTTATCCCAGGCCTTCAGGTCCACAAATGCCCACATGCAGCCGGAACGAACAAGTCCCCACATCAGCAGAACCCCTTTGGACGGTGGCAGCGATGGGCGCCTAGCACCCTCCACATCCCCGCCAGCCCCAAACCCCTACCTGCTTCCCGTCCAGGGTATATAGACGCTTCACCACTCCGGAGTCCAGCTTGATGGCATCGGTGATGTCGGTGAGCACCTGCTCGAAGGAGTGAGCCGTCTTCTTGTTCAGCAGGATACGGACCGCTTTCCGCGGCTTCACCCCGCTTCTGATGATTGTGACCAGCTTGGGACGAATGAAATCCTTGTTCTCCCTCACCTCGGAAGGGCTGCCCTTGGCGGTGGCCAGCGAAGACACTGCCCGCGAGGCTGAGGTGGTCTTGACGTTCACGGACCAGTTGGGGTTCACATTCTTGGTGTATTCCAGTTTCTTGAAGGGCTCGATTGAGCCGCACACATAGCTCTCTCCTAGGGAAGGGAGAGACAGTATGAAACGTCAACCAAAGCCCCGTGCCCTGGAGCCCACGCCAACTCACAGCCACCCTAGGCAGGCCCACACTGACTCACAGCTGGAGGGCAGGAGTCCAGCGCTGGCCCTGCAGTGCCACCGGAGCCCCGCAGTAGCATGAGAGTCACCGTTGGGAACCCATTTCTCTTACTCAGCCCTGTGTCTGGAGGCTCCATTCTAACAACACAATGATCACAACACAGTGTGTCTACACAGTAAGGTGATCTGTGGGGTGGGCCACGTGTCTGGACTCTCGGGAGAATGCCTCAGATGGGGCAGAGACACGAAGCGGGCAGACTGCTGGGAAACATGCCAATAGATCTGCATGGCGCGGTGACCACAGACCTTTGACAATTATGGTCAAAAGCGCAGTTTCTGGAAAAGGCAAAAGAGTGAAGTGGGGGACACAGTGAGGTGTGCCCACACCTGCTGGGCATGAGAGCTAGCTGGGACTTAAAACCAGGCAAGGAAAGCATGGTTAGCAGCCAGGAAGAGTCTGGCTTCTCCTTGGCGTCTGTCCAAGCCAGACCGTTTTTGACAAACATGCCACTGTGAACTAAACATTGTGTGAAGTCAAGTAAAAGCGTGGAAGTAATATACAGAACCTAGTGTCAGGAACTGAGATAAATAAAAGCTGAATTGTTATTTTAAAATTCTGTTATTAACAGTCATGAAAATATCCAGACTACCAAGTAGATGCAGGTCTCATACAAAAAGGAAATGATCTATCTGCCAGGAGGTGACAAATTATCAAGCTGTTGTCCGTAAATACGCATTTCATAGAGTCAGGCTAATGCATTTGGAAATTAATAACTATTCTATAATGGGCGTGTGTGTGTGTGTGTGTTTAATACGAAACTCTGTAAGACCCTGAGCGGACCAAGATGTTAAAAAGACTTGTTCTACCTGCCCGTCACGTAGCTGGAGACTAACCCAGTGCAGCCCAGTTACTGCTATCTAAGTCCTGTGGTCTGGTTTTACATTAATAGTACGTACATCAAGGCCCCTGGAAAAACCATTCACGCAAAGAGACCTGAACCAGGGTTTCGGAAATAAAGACATGCAGCAATACATGGTTACAAAACAGATATTTTCTGTTTTAAAGATAAATTTGTCTGTGTGCATGCAAGCAATGTGTATGTTGTTACTAGGTACTGTCGAGTCAGAAGCGACCTTGTGTACAAGAGAACGAAACCCCACCCACTCCTGCGCCCACCTCACCATCGTTGTTATTTATACTTGATCCCATTTTGGCTGCCACTATACACAACCCATCTCATCGGGGGTCTTCCTCATTTTCACTGACCCTTCCCTTTGCCAAGCATGATGTCCTTCTCCAGGGACTGACCTCTCCTGATCACATGTCTAAAGTACAAGAGGAGAAGCCCCACATCCTCACTTTTAACGAGCATTCTGGCTGTAGCTCAATAAGAAACCGTAGGTGGTATCAACATTTAATGTGGACTGAAGGTTCAAGTCCACCCCATGGTACCTCAGAAGAAAGGTCTGGCTCTCTACTTCTGGAAAATCAGCCATTGAGAACTCCATGGAGTGCAGCTCTTATGCCAGCACGCGTGACGGTGGGCACCGTGATGTGCAGTCGATTTGATGCCATACGTATTGAGTCTGTCTCCACAGGGTCTGGAAATCAGCGATTCGAGAATCGCCAACAAGTTGTTTCCACACCTGACATGGAGTGAGGAGTTTAAGACTATTCAAAAGTACCAAAATCAAGTCCTGTTCTGAGTTAGGGTGTTAGAGAAGAATATTGAAGGAACCGTGGACTGTCAGAAGAACAGCCAGAAGTCAGGATGGGCAGACTTCGTCACTCACACTTAGGACATGTTATCAGGAGGGCCCAGTCCCTAGAGAAGGACATCATGCTTGGTAAAGGGGAGGGTCAGCAGAACTGAGGACAACCCCCAACAAGACGGAGCGGCTCAGTGGCAGCAGCAATGGCTCAAACGCAACCATGTTGGTGAGCTTGGCCCAGGACTGGGCGGTGTTTCATTCTGCTGTGTATAAGGTCACTAGAGAATCAACAGCACTAACAGTTACTGTACGTACACTAAGCCATCCTCAGGTCTTTTGGTGTGAATCCTATCACAACAATGATGAAAGTCCACTGATCAAAACCAAGGTGAATTGGGGCAAAATTGCCCGAATTAGCTTCGGCGGTTTTGTATAACTAATCCCAGGCCGACCTCGTTGTACTGTGCTCGCTTGATCACATTCACGTGCTGTGAGTTTCAGGCCCTGAAGTTTAGTGGTGGCCCTGGGTCCTAGGCCATTTTCCCAGCATCCTGTGCTCCTGTGTGTCTGTGGTCCTTCCGGTCATTCTCACACGATCCACACACTGACCCTGCAGGACACAACGGAACTGGCCCTTAGGGTTTCCGAGACTAATTCTTTATGGGAGCAGACAGCCTCATTCTCCCTTGGAGCAGCTGGTGGGTTTGAACCACTGGCCAAGAGGTTTGCAGCCCAATGCCTAACCCAGGGCGCCACCAGGGATCCTTTCATAGACGACAGTCTAGTGTAAACATACACTTTCTATGCACTGTTGTTGTTGCAAAGTGCTGTTGAGTCGGTTCTGACTCACAGCGAGCGAGCCTGTAGAGGGTTTCTGGGGCTGTAACTGTTGTTGTTGTTGTTGTGTGTACAGGGTTTCTGGGGCTATAATTAGACTATAAAAAATATGTAGAGCCCAGAACTTGGCTATGATTTATTTTTCAAACAATCACCAAGGCACTGAAAAATCATTTAATGTGTCATTATTTTTCAAAGGATGGGATTAAATTACTCTGATAGCATTTTTCTGCAGGAAAAAGATGAGGCTTCCTGCTCCCATGAAGATTTACAGCCTCGGAAAGCCCGTGCAGGGTCACTATGAGTCGGAACCGACTCCACAGCACATAACCACCACCAATAGCGGGGTTTTTTTTGAAGATTCTGCAAACTGATTTCTACTTTGCCATTGACTCCCATTACGGAATGAGAGAAGGATTCCCATTTAAATCTCCCAATGGGAGTCCTGGTGTGGCGCTTCAGAATAAGCACCGGATGACTTACCACAAAGCTGGAGGTTCAAATCCACCAGCTGTTCTTTAGAAACCCGTTTATGGGCTCACTGTGAGTCGGAATGGACTCAGTGGTACTTCACACCCATAAAGCAATAATGATGACTTTCAGTGATGTTGTACCCCACAAAGGGGCTCTGGTGGCATAGTGGGTAAGCGTCTGCTCCTCTCAGATGGCAACTGTACCCTGTCCGGCAGCGTCTCTGTGAGTCAGAGTCCACCATGACAATCGGGGTCCCTGGGTGACCGAGTGTGGTGTGTCAGCTGGGACAGACACCTGCTCAGGGATTCCAGAGTCCTGGTGTGGCGCAGAAGGATAGACCTGGACTACACGGTTGAAGAGTCAAAACCACCCGCCGCTCCTCAGAAACCGTATGCAGGGTCACTATGAGTCAGAATCTATTTGATGGAGTCCTGCTGGTGTGGCGCTGTGGGTTAGTGTGCTGGACTGCAAAGTCTGTTTGAACCACAAAGTCGGCAGTTCAAGCTCACCAGCTGCTCCTTGGAAACCCTACATACGGTCGCTATGGGTCAGAACCGAGTCGACGGCACTTAACAACAACAGAGTTTGCATAAAGACTAAAAACAAGCTTTCAGAAATAAAATCTCAATGTGTTAAAGGGGGACCTGTGGAAATATGCTGACTTCTCAATTTCAAACTGAGGTGCCAACAGTTAACGGGCTTGGCTGCTAACCAAGAGACTGGGTTTCAAGGGTCTAGGAAAAACGATGTGGCAGTCTGCTTCCAAAAATATCAGTCACTGGACAGTCTTGGGAGCACAGTCTCCTCTGACACACAGGGGGCGCCGTGAGGTGCGGTTGGTAGAAGGATCCCTGGGTCCTCTGATGCTGGGGTTCTGACTGAGGCCTAGGGCTGGGGTTCTGACTGAGGCCTAGGGCTGGGGTTCTGACTGAGGCCTAGGGCTGGGGTTCTGACTGAGGCCTAGGGCTGGGGTTCTGACTGAGGCCTAGGGCTGGGGTTCTGACTGAGGCCTAGGGCTGGGGTTCTGACTGAGGCCTAGGGCTGGGGTTTTGACTGAGGCCTAGGGCTGGGGTTCTGACTGAGGCCTAGGGTTGCGGCTTGTACCGGATTTCTAACACCACTTCCCTTTGTTGTAGAAATGGCCTAACCCCAGGCTTCACAAACTCAAGCAGACTGAGCTAGGGTTCCGGTAAGAGCATAATCAGACATGTCCAATGTCTTCTCAGTAAGGGGACGAGCATCTTAGATTTCACCCCACACAAACCTTTCCACTGGAAACCTGACAGTTCCACGACTGCGTTAGGATAGAAGCCGAGGCAGACGCACGCTCTCGGTGAAGTCTCTGACGCGGAAATCATGATTTACGGAATAACCCAGTCTAACTGCACCTTCAGGAAATGTCTTTTCCTGAGCCCACCTCGGACACACACACAATATTTCATCATCTACCTGGAAGCTCTGGTTAAGGAGATGGTTTCAATAGTGTACCGGAGACAAGAAGCGAAGACTCTCCCAAATGGCTCATGGGTTGGTTACAGGAGTCCACCCTAACCTAACCGTATCATTTCTGAAAAACAAGCCCATCAAGTGGATTCCAACTCCACGTTCCCGTGGGGCAGGGAAGTGTCTATGGGGTTTTCCAGCTGTCATCTCCACAGAGCGGCTAGTGGGTCTGAATCACCGACCCTTCTGCTAGCAATCAAGCACTTGACACACTGCGCCACCAGGGCTCCTTTCATAACATTTGTTGTTGTTGTTAAGTGCCATCGAGTCGGTTCTGACTCACAGCAACCCTGTGTAGGGTTTCCAAGGAGCAGCTGGTGAGCTGGAACCACCAACCTTGCAGTTCCAACGGCTTTGCAGTCTGGCGCACTAACCCACAGCGCCACACCAGGAC